GTTAAGCCCCTGAGTGCGCTTCAGTTAACTCTAAATCTAAATCACATCATGCAGAGAAATCAACTCTGCAGAATGCATAGCACTTAATATGCACCTGCCCATACTGGAGCATGTATTCAGAATGGAAGGGGGGGCCTGCCAAAACGCTGGGCAGCAGGAGGCTAATTGACTTTTTGGGATCATTCACCTCAGCAGATTACCTCCACGTGCTGTCACTTTCCTCATCCCCCCCCCCCCCACCTCTTATTCCTCCAGAGTGCTGATGCGCATTTTGCTGGGAAATTGGGAGAAGGAGGGAATCTGTGGATTCTGGAACCAGCTTGAAGCCCCCTTCTGTGGTTAATGTAATCACCTTCCTGGCCTCTAACCTATTCCAGCCATGTCAATCTAATCATCTGCACAACAAAACCAGTTTCTCCCAAACCAGTTCCAAACCAACCTATTGGCTAGTGTAGATGTGCCCTTTATTTAACACTAATACCATTACATCTTGTTGGTTGTATAGATTATTGACCATATTACAAACAACACATTTTATTTAGTTGGTTTCGGTCAGTATTTTGCAATTGCCAATAGAGAAAAAGCACAATGTCAGCTGCATCTTTACTCGATTTTCCAAAAGCAATTCCAATTACTGCTTGTTTGATCAGTTTGCATATTCTTTCAAAATAAGACATTTAGAAATCCAAGCTTGTGAAATTTTACAAAGATATTCAGAACATATATCAAACCATTCACTTCACTCCACAATGCTATTTTTACAGCCATTAGCAGAGACGGAGGCTGCTAGATAAACATATTCCCTGTTAAATTGTTTTTACTTCCTGTGGTTCATTTCCAACAAAAATTTCTAAAGAGAATTAATGCAAGTAAATAATCTTAATTGATTTCTGAGTCTGTGTAGGTGGCTAAGAATGAGCAATGCACAACTGCTACTGGAGTTTGTTATTGAATTTTTCTGACATCTGAATTGAGAGTGTTCTAGATTATTAAAAACCTCCCTATAATAACTGTATGCGTTATGTTTTCAAATATTGCAGTTCAACTAAATGTTATTTATTTTCCTGCTTTCTTCACATATACATAGTAAAGGTAAATGTTTCCCCTTGACATTAAGTCTACTCGTGTCCGACTGGGGGGTGGTGCTCATCTCCATTTCTAAGCCAAAAAGCTGGCATTGTCCATAGACACCTCCAAGGTCATGTGGACAGCATGACTGCATGGAGCTCCGTTACCTTCCCACTGAAGTGGTACCTATTGATCTACTCACATTTGCATGTTTTCGAACTGCTAGGTTGGCAGAAGCTGAGCCTAACAGCAGCAGCTCATCCTGCTCCCTGGATTTGAACCACCATCCTTTTGGTCAGCAAGTTTAGCAGTTTAACCTGCTGTGCCACTGGGGGGCTTCACATATACATACTTATGGACAAAATGACTGATAGCCTGTGTAATGAAAATTAAGTGTTTACAAGTTAGGTTTGAAAATTAATTTGATAATGTTAAAAGAAATAAAATTGGAGGACTATTTCACTGCCACTGACACAATAACTGGAGTAGTTTGATTGAATTAGTGCTGAATCCATGTGGGAGCTATTTCCTAATTCCATTTCACAGTATCCTGTTGTAGTTTATCCCCATTAACATCCCCACTGGTTTTCATCCAAACTTATATTGGTCTTGAAAGCAAAACAGTTCTCCCAGTGTGATGTCACATCAGTACAATGCTCCTCATTTCAAGTTCTCCATATAAAGTTCCTTCAAAGTTTACAGGAATTTTAAAAAAATGTAGAAGTGGAACTGCTAGTTTTGTCAACCAACCCAGGAAAAAATGCCAGTCCAACATTCCCTTTATTTCTTTGAATCTAATTCAGTCTCGGTCCAGAAGAATCCATTCTCCAGTATGGCTGTAATGTCTGTCCTCTTACCTAGGAGTAAGTCTCACAGAACTCAATTGGACTTCTGTATAGAAACATATAAAATCAAACTGTTAATGAACAGTTGGGCAGAAGCATTAAGCATTCATGTTTCCCCTCTGGCACTTAACTGAACACAAGTGTTTGTGACAGTGGATTTCACTTATCTCCAAGTGATGGGTTTAGAAATGCAACCTGATCCAAGATGTCTTTACTAGAAAGCGGGATTAAACTCCCATTGAGTTTAATAAAATTTAACACACACAAGCAAAGGACCACAGACTTTCAGATATTTGTGGATATCCATACACATACAGTGATCCAAAACATCTTTACTAGAACTAGGTATTAAATTCTCACTGAATCTAATAAAATGTGACAAAAGAGCCGTGGCGGGTGGGAGAGAAAGAAATGGGAGATGATGATGAAAACTTTCAAATTGCACTGAGTGAGCAATAATAACCATATTAAAAAATTATAGAAGGATTCCATGAGATTTCATTCTGAAGAGAAAGCATGTTCTCCTAAATGCATCTCTTTGCTCCAATCTTACCAACCCATTCAAAGTGAGTGACCTAAGTGAAGCAGGGCGTGATGGAAAGCAGAAGATGAGGAGGTAGAAAAGCCAAGGAAAAAATGGGGCAGGTACAATTGAGGAAAACATTTTTCATAATTATTCAAGTGTTTAGCAACGAGTCTGTGAGGAACCCTAAACAATTGCAAAGTGGTTCATTGTAGTTTATTGCAAATAATACACAAATATTTTACATTTGTTTTTGTTATAATAACAACAAATCAGAAGTGAAAAATCACAATACCCCCTAGTTTCCAAAGGTTATGTAGATCAATAAATAAAGTAACAAGATGTTATGTGATTTCAGCTCCATTAAAATCACAGGTTTGAGGAGCCCAGCATGTCTGGCTTTCCAGAAGGCCAAATCAGGCACAAATCGAATAGAAGACAAATCCTGAGGTTTATTCTCAATGGCCAGAGAGGATGTCAGTGGAGAAAGTACTGACATACCCCAACTGTGAACACATGGGTTTATTTATAGTACATTTGACAGGGAAAAAAAGAAGCAGTACAGAACAATAGAAAATTACTGTGCTGGTTTCCCATTGATCCTGAAGGGAGCCAGTTACGATTCACAGCGTCACTGGAGGAGGCACAAGTCTGCTCTTACTTCTGAGCCAGTCAGAGGTGAGGTGGAAAATTTAATAAACTGTCATTTGTGGATTTGAAGTCGTGTGTCTGTTGTGAGTCCTTCCCAGAAATTGGGTGCCTCTGGGTGGAATACAGTTTGATGAGTGGTTGATGGGTCCTGATGATCCAATGCCAGCTAAATAAAGGAGATTCTGGCCAATGTACAAAAGTTGTTTAAGGTGCAATTACATATAATGGAGCATTCACAGAGCGGGTCCAGATAGGTGCTATTGATGAGGCAACATTCCCAGGGTTAGCCTAGGTCATATCATGTCAAGTAGATAAAGAAAATCGGATTATGGTGATATTCTCTGGGTGAGGTTGAGGCACGGGCAAAGTGAGTTCATGTTCTAGGGAATTTTCAAGGAATTTCATAGAAAGGTTACCTTTTAGGATGATTAGAAATTACCATGTGGTCATATTACCATATTTTCCAATGGAGTTCATATATTTTATATTATTCATATTGTTGATGAGTCTGATTTCTCAATTTCAGACCTAAAAGGTCAGCAGTGGCTGCTTGATGAGTAAACATACAATGTCCTCCCTATTTCCCTACCATTCAAAACCAAGTTTTACCTTTTCCTTTGATTACATTCTACACTTGTTTTCCAATCGCAGCTCTTCAGTTGCTTTGCACTTATTCTTCTGATGGGTTTCCAGAACTTTCTTTATCTCTGTTCCTGCTCTAGAAGTATGATGCAGCAAACGGTTAGCTCGCCTAGCAACAGAACCACATGAGGCATTTATTCCATTCCCAATCCTTCACAAAAATGTCAGAAAACGAGTTCTCTGCTCTAATGAATTCAAACATGCTATAATTCTTTAACATAGAGGGTCGCCATCAGCCACCTCTTAATGTATAGGATCAGCCTCAGTGAAATCTAGTGAATTAAGCCATGTAAAAAAGAAAAATCTTAACAAATTAATAGTTTAACATGCAACTAGTTATTGGAACACAATCCAGACTCATCAAGGCAGCTGAGGGTCCTTCCACATAGCTCTATGTCTCAGAATATCAAGGCAGAAAATCCCACATTATCTGAGTGCAGACTCCGAAAACCCAGTTCAAAGCAGATATTGTGGGATTTTTTTGCCCTGATATTCTGGGATATAGGGCTGTGTGGAAGGGCCCTTAGAGCCAGCTGAGTGACATTAAACCTGAAGTTCTGCTAAATCTAAGCTGCTCTTAGGCTATAGGTGCTAGAAACTCTATAGGACTCCTTTGTATCTGGCCTAACGCCGTGGCTATTAGCATAGTGCCCATGACATTGAATCTGGCATAATTCAGTTCTTTCCTTGCTCTGTCCCTTCTGTTTTGGACTCTGAAAAGAGCACAGTGACAGTCAGCATATGTCATGGCAAATCTCTCTGCTGAGTGGTTTCTGAAATCAGGTAGCAGACAGGGGTTATGTGAGCATAAACATCGGAAGACTGTTTCAGCTGGCACAGGAGGCATTTGCCTTTTCCCAACACATATATCTAGTATGCGTTTCAATCAGGATTGTGCTATTGCTTGGTTAAAAAAAACTGTTCCCCTTGATTTTTTAAAGGAACGTTTTCTGCCTGTTTTACTTTGTTTTATTCTATATTCTATTATTTATACCTTTCTCTTATAAACCACATCAGAGAGGTATCTGTTAAAAAGAGATATTTGGCACAGATACAAAAAGGGGACTTGCAGCATTAGAGACAACATTTTCAGGTGTGGGGTTTTTCATAATACATTTCTTTTTACTTGGACCTAGTACTCAGCAGGGATTTTCTTCTGAGCTAGTTAGTTTTGCTGCTGTTGTTCCAGTTGAAGTATCCTACTTTCATGTTGAACAGTGAAAAAGACAGAATTGCCTTTCATTTTGACAGCGTCTCTGTTTTTGTTTTAGTGAGCATCCTCTAAGTCACTTGGTCTCTGACTCGGATTCTGAGATGGACAGCACCGAGCAACTAGCCCTGGGCAGCACAGACACGCTCTCCAATGGGCACAAGGCTGATCTGGAGGCAGCTAAGCGTCTGGCAAAGAGGCTCTACAATCTGGATGGTTTCAAAAAAGCAGATGTAGCCCGGCACCTGGGGAAGAAGTACGTGTGGGTATTAGGAGAAAAGACTGTTCACCCAGAGCTCTGTTAACCCCCTGAGGGAATCCAGCTACATTCATGCAGAAATATCCTGAGGAGAAAGCCTTGTGGAGGACATCAGATAAGATACCGCCTTCCCTCAAGAATAATAAGTAAACCTCTGGCTAGCTTGGCTTTATGAGAGACTCGGCATGGCAGTGTTTTCTGCATGGCCCACATAGTTTATGGCCCGGGGATGATCTATGCTGCATTTTCCGTAGCTTGACAAAAATGTTTGCACTAACCATGTGTGCCTTCACTCTTAATGTATACCCAGCAACTAGAGAATACAGCTAACTAGAAATTAAGGCACATAAGGATTGCTGGAATCAAATATTAATCAAAGACTTCTAGGCATCTTTGCTGGCTTTGTATAAATACTATCTTAAATCTTGTCTTTGTGCTTCTTGTTGTGGTGATCATGGAGTCCTCGTGTTTCTCTTGTCTTAGTTATTATCCCTCTGTCATAGGATAAAAGTTTTTAAAATCATTTTTCCTTCTCTTTCTAGTAATGATTTTAGTAAGATGGTCGCAGGAGAGTATCTCAAGTTCTTTGAATTCACTGGAATGAGTTTGGATCAAGCTCTGAGGTGAGTGTTCAGGATATGTGCAATACTTGAAATGGTAAAGTGGAGAAAACTGGGTTTAAAATGAGTTCAGTAGAAGATTGTCTACAGTTGCTTTCAGGATTAACATTTATTTATATCCGTGGAAATACAGCAGTTCTAAATTTTCTCATTAGACTTCTAAGCAGCCCTGGCAGCTCATCAGCACTGGATAAGCCTTCTGTTTTCCCTGCCAACCCCAAATTGACAAACTAGGCAGAGTGGATCCAGCACCTAGAGGGCAACAATACAGGGCCAATGGGCTCCATGTAGGCCGTGGAGCAGGAATGGGTGGGTCACTAGTTGTGAAAGATGGTCTTAGATTTAGAGCAGGTTTAGATTGTTCTTTTTTGTAGTGGGGTCACCCTAGACATGCGTCTGTCAAAGGAGATGCAGATGCTTAGGTTTTCTAATAATATGTCAAGTACTTAAAATGTTCTGAGAAAAAGTGCTTTTCAAAATCATTTGATCTCTTCCTAAAATTGATATTCAGATTCAGTATATATGTGATGCTGAGATTTTCATAGTCACCTTGGGGATAATTCCCACCTTTATTGCAAGAGATGTATTCCCCTGCTTCATTATCTGCAGTTCATAAAACAAAATTAAATGAGTGTACAAGATAAAGGATATACGTGTGTGTGCGCGCGCACATGATCCAAGATAGCCATAAACAAACCATGCCTTCTTTTTTCAGCAGACAAGGAGTACTGGGAGGCAGTGGGTGGAGGGATAAGTTAAATCAACAATGCTGCAGATGGAGGGGGGTTGTCATTTTTCTCTACATTTCATTTTGCAATCAAACGCAAGCAGCCTCCATACCAGTATCCATTCTGCTAGAGAGAAAGCAAGTTGCCTATATTGTTCCTGTCTTTCTCCCAAGCAAGGAGAGGTTTCTGTCTGGTAGAATGGGGCATGAGGGAAAAGATTAACACCTACTCACCCTCACCTACTTATCAACCAACTATTGGCCTGCATCGCATTAGAACTCACATCTATTATGCAACATCCCTGCATTGTTCCCAGAATTTTAGAGCGGGTCCAAAAATGACTGTCTTCCAATTGAACCCTTCTGCTTTTCACAATAACTAGTGCTCCCCATCATCACTTCACTACTGAAAATTTACTAAGGAAAGAGGGAATCACAGCACAATGTTTTCTGATATTTTCTTTACAGTCCCCTGAATTTTTCAGTGCCTTTCTTCAATCCAAAATGTCTACCATTAGATGAACCTGGATACAAAAATGTACTCCAGAGAATATCATATTTAAAGAGCATACATTAGGGGACAGAAATGCATGCATTAAGGAAAATTGCTTCCAAATTTTTGCATACATGAAATGATTGTGCAGTTTCTGTAGGACTTGGGGGAAAATAGGAGAGAAGGGGGGGATAGAAAGAGAGAGAGGCTGGAGACAGAAAAATAGATATTTTCTCATCTTTGCAAAGGCCGGTGGGCAAAAGACAGGGGACCTGCATTCACTCACGTCTCATACAATGCAATTTTAAATGGAGAGGGAAGACAAATAGCAGGCATCTACATCTTTCAATATTTGAAAAATACAGGATCAAATAATTGTTTACTATGACTCTTTGCTTAGATTACCCTGATATACAAATTTTAAGTTTGTCTTTGATAGCTGAATTTTTTTCTCGGCTTTTGAAGGCCTTCCCTGTTATACCAGTTTATTGACAACTGTATTCCAACATGAAGTTTATATATTTAAACACCTTTCCCCTGATCAGGAGCTTAAAAAGCTTCCAAAGCAATTTGCAGATTACTCTCTATTCTCTGGATTGCAGTCTAAAAGATGGAAAGCAGAAGGGATGGGAGAAGGAAAGGATAAAAGGTGCATCTACACTGACCATTTATGTCAGTGTGGTGTCGGAAAAACCTGCAGGCATCTTTAAAGTGCTTGCAGGCTGTTCTGATTTAACTCAAGGAAAGCCGGCTGATATAGCTGCCTCTTGGGTTAAAAAAACAAAGGGAAAAGTCCTATGCGGAATCAGTATTGGATGCTTAGACAGGCATCCCAATCTAACAGGGCCCAGGTGACACAGGGATGTGGGATAGTGTCCTTTCCGGTTCTGCCTCACACAATTCTTGTCATATGAAAGGAGGGAAATTGCATCTACTGCATGGCCTGCAGATTCTCTTTCTGGTTCCATGCCATCTAATTTGCAAAGGAGCTTAGGAGGAGCTGCGGGGCCATGCAGTATGTGCCTTTTCTCCCCTTTTCAATAGCAGTGACACAGGCTGGCATTTGGGCCCCTGCTCAGCAGCATCCAACCAGTTTCAGTATGGTTGGGCAATGTGGATGCCTTCCCATCACTGAGGTGGTTTGGGATTTCCCTGTTGGGCCACAATGCAGAGTGGAATTGGTATTCTGCATGCCGGTTCCCCTCCATATTTTGTGGCTGTGAAGAACCAGTCAGAGAAAAACAAGCAAATGCATGCATCAGTTCGTAATTCAAAAAATCTCAGAGCAATCAGCTAGGATGGAAATTGTTTTTGGAGAAGAGGGGTAGTTTTACATCTCTTCTACCTCTGTTACAGTGGTCCTCAACTTGTGGGTCCACAGATGCTTTGGCCTTCAACTCTCAGAAATCTTAACTGCTGGTAAACTGGCTGGGATTTCTGGGAGTTGTAGGCCAAAACACCTGAGGACCCACAGGTTGAGAACCACTTCTCTATTGCAATGTAATCCCAGTTAACAATCACTGCATTGGACCCAGACTATTTTAGGACATTATCACACTACCTTTTAGTGCATGTTGTAGCCTCTTCACCCACAGGCTAAAGTGGATTCTCCTGCACGACATTCCTAGGAGATTCATAAGCAGAGCATAGGTCAGCAGAACAACCCCCAAGATAAAGTTTGACACCCGTTTAACCACCATGGCTCCATGCTGTAGAATCCTGGGAACCATAGTTTCACGAAGTCTTAAGCCTCCTCAGCTTCTGGGGAGGCACCAGTACTCTTTCACATTTTTCTGTCACCACAGACAAGGCAACAACTTCAGGAGGGGAAAGCACTTGATCCTGAAATAAATTTTGATTAAACATTCTGGTTTGTGATATGATTTGAGAGTTTTGAGGGCATGTTCCAGAAAATAAAGATGATACCCTGCCTTTTGCTCCTAGAAAGTATTTACCCTCTTTGCATAGTAGTGTGTTGTATTCTCAGTTGTGTGAGGAATGGGGTTCTGTGGGACAGCACCTTTTGACTCATTTTAACCCGTTGCCTGAGATTACACTTACTGGTGCATGGATGCTTGGAGAGATGCAAAAATGACAAGACTGGATTACTGGTGGTCCTACGGGAGCATTGTGTTGTCTCACCTCACTGCAGCATTATGTGATGAGGAGAAGCAATGGGTTCATATCAGTGTACAGGATGGAACTGTTTTCTAAATTTTATACTGCCCCAAGAAGAAACATTATGTTCCCATCAGTAACAGACTTCAATAAGTCAGTGGGTATTATTACTCCATGTAACTATTGGTCCTCCTTTTCCCCCAGGTCCTTTCTGAAAGAGCTGGCCCTTATGGGTGAGACCCAGGAGCGGGAGCGAGTCTTAGCTCATTTTTCACAGCGTTACTATGAGTGCAATCCTAAAGCTATCTCTTCTGAGGGTGAGATATCATGGAAGGAGAAAAAATGCTGGGTGAAATTGGGAGGCCTGGAGATCAATTGTTTCTGCTTTCAACAATCAGAGATCTCTGCTGGGCCAGTCTTGCAGATCACCTGGAGGGTCCTGCATTGCAATATCACTGGGTTATTTTCCAGTCCCAGGCTGGAACTGGGACTGAGTACTGATTGCTGAGGACTCTGCACCTTTTGCTTTCTCAAAAGGAGGAATGGAGGACAGAAAGCTAGATTTTGGTGGGAAAGAAAGTACAGGGCAGACTGCTTTGCCAACACCATCAGGAGTTTGTTTTTGGCTTAATGGCACATCTGACTGGGAAAGGCAGTCTGGAGTGAACAACGTTTCTGTCAGCTGCAGACTTAGGCTGTTTCCAAAATAAATCCAATTTTAAGATAGAAGAACTTAATTGAAAACTACAATACAGGTTACTACAGGATATTATTATCAGAACTGTAAATTGCTCCAAGGATACACAATTTATAGGCTAGGCATTCAAACATTTGGTACACATATAAAACATTGGTTTAAATGGTACCCACTATTACCCTTTTTGCAGTTTATCCTTTCGTTCTCACCCTCCTCCATGTGTGCATGCACAGAGAGAGAAAGAAAGAGAGAGAGAGAGAGAGAGAGGATGTTACACAGCAAATAATATGTTTCATTGAACAACTTACACCGCAGTTCCATTTGCATAAAAATAAAAATAGTTTAAAAGAAAAGAAATCAACACTTGCAAAGTTTAAAAACCACAACACAGCAACCTCAATAATTTAAAATATGTATATTGAAAAGTTTGGAAAAGCATATTCATGAAACTGAAAATATCAAAAATTGTTCACTTTGCTTTCATTTCCAAAACCCTTGGATTGATAATACAGTGTAGAACATTTTACATAACTCACATCTGAAAGATTTATTTTAGTGTCTATAAAAGAGTTGACAAAGTTCTGTAGGGGTTTTACCTGTCTTAGAAAATTCAACTTTTGGGACTATTAAGATGACACCTTCAGCTCAGGTGTAGCCTACGTCATGGAAACATTTAGTAAAATAAAAGCTGGTTGGGCTGGGGCTGATGATCTCTCTTGGATGCTTGTTCTACAGATGGAGCCCACACGCTGACGTGCGCATTGATGCTGTTAAACACTGACCTTCATGGACATGTAAGTGCACCGCTCCTCCTACTCACTACTCTTGAAAGTTTATTAGGGAGATATATCAAAGCAGCAATGCATGAAAACTTCAATTTCCTGGGCTAGGAATCCTTTGTCCTCACTTAAATGAATTACATTGTGTTATACTTCACCCAAACTGGGCAATTACAGTGCGTCAGAGTACCAAATATGTTTTTTTTTTCTATTTCCAATAAGAAAACAGAATAAATGTTCCCAGGGCAAATCAGAAGAAGAGTAGCCAGTGGTAGGGGATTTTGAAACATTCATAGCTGTCCTAGCTTGGAAGTAGAATGATTATATTTACTGAGATATGTCCTGATTGTGAATCTGGGAAGGGAAAGATGGATTTGCTCCTATGCACCAGCGCTGGAAGAGAAAAAGAGAGGGCAGATTCAACTAGATAAAGCATTCTGGAGTATGGTAAAATGTTGCGCTTTCTCCTCCCTATGCCCTTGTAACAGATTACATGACTAGAAGAGATTAAAGAGAAAAGGGAGCATAAAAAGAGGAGGGATAAATGATATAGATAGTGAGGGATTGAAAAGGAAATGTGATAAAACACGTCACTATAAAGGAAGACAAAGGGAAAAACATGAGCTGGAAGACAAGAATATTGCAATTATAAAGATTTATAGCAATTTTAAAAATAAAAACTGTTTCAAGGAGAAAGAAGGTACCACTGCACAAAGTTGGAAAAAGGCACTGGCGCAGATCAAAAGAACAGATTCCCTTGGAACTCAGCCTGGAAGAAAAATGTGCCCAAAATGTACTGAGTGTGCTGTTGTAATAGCACATATTGAAAGCAATGTTCTTCTGCACCAATCCCTTGTGCAGCATGCATTGTCGGCCTACAATAATGACCAACCGGAAGAAAATGTCATAGATTTCCAGGTGACTTGAAGGTGCACACACACAGATATATATACACACAGAGGGAAGCCTCTAAAAGGCTCACAAGCAGGGCATGGGGATAATTATATCCTATATCTGGTATTCAGTAATGTGTTCTGCTCCTGTAAGAGGAAGTTTCTGTAAGGGCCCTTCCACACAGCCATATAAACCAGAATATCAAGGCAGAAAATCCCATAATATCTGCTTTGAACTGGGCTATCTGAGACCACACTGCCATATATTCCAATTCAAATCAGATAATGCGGGATTTTATTCAGCAGTGTAGAAGGGGCCTAAGGCAGAGATCCTCAAACGTTTTAAGCCGAGGGCTCGTTCATGGTCTTCCAGACTGTTGGGCTTGCCTATCATTTGAAAAACGAAATCCTATGCACACTGCACAAATCTTACACATGAAAGAACCATACAATATTTAAAATGAAGAACAATTTTAACCAACACAAACCTACCAGTATTTCAATGGGAAGTGTGGGCCTGTGTTTGGCTGATGAGAGAATCAAGTTAATCAAGATTGTTTTTGTTGTGTGTCTTCAAGTTGTTTCAGACTTTGGGTGACCCTAAATCTAAAGTTTAAGGCGGGGCCAGGCAAATGACCTTAGATGTCACATTCTGCCTGCAGTCCTTAGTTTGGTAACCCCTTCTCTAAGGTCAGAGTGAGAATTGTATTAGATGCAGACCATTTTGCAGCACTAAATCTTTTCCCAGTCATCTCCAGACCCCTATCTCTTTTTCTTTTCTTTTAAAAAGAGAATTCTTTTTGCTTACAAGTGGTCAACCATCACTTTTGGAGGCCTTCGGGATTATGGTGGATTGTGTTTTGACCCACCACTTCTAAAGTCAAGGAACCTAGAATTTGCAACTGGGGGCCCTTCCACACAGCCCTATATCCCAGAATATCAAGGCAGAAAATCCCACATTATCTGCTTTGAACTAGAATTTATGGCAGTGTGGGTTCATATAATCCAATTCAAGGCAGATTTTGTTGGATTTTCTGCCTTGATATTCTGGAATATAGGGCTGTGTGGAAGGGCCCTGCAACTGACTTGAAAATCGTACACAAATGCTGCCACATAGCCTCCTGTGAGGCCAGAAATTGGTGTCTGTACTGACTGTAGCGATCTATCCTGCCCTAAGCTGTCATAACTAGTTGTATAAAGCCCCATCAATACTGTCATCAAGTCCAGTTTCAGAAACCTGATTATCTGCTTTGAACTGGATTATTTGGCAGTGTAGACCCATATAATCTCATTCAAAGCAAATAATATGAATTCAGACACTTGATTATATGGCAGTGTAGATGCAGCCTAGATCCCTTCCAGATGGGCCCTACATCCCAGGATCTGATCCCAACTTTTCTGTTTTAAACTGGATTATATGAGTCCGCACTGCCAGATAATGTGGGATAAAAAGAAAACCTGGAATCAGACTCTGGGATATAGGGCCTGTCTGGAAGGGCCCTAAATCTTTCATTGAAAGGACTAATGGGAGCCAGAGCACATTACTTTATCTTCTACCAAGGTATTCTATCTTGATAATCTTGATACGATCAATGGTGTAGCTCTCGTGGCTATATTTCTCTTGTTCTTTCCCTTATTCCTCCTTGTAGAATATTGGGAAGCGAATGTCCTGCTCAGATTTTATTGGAAACCTGGAAGGACTCAATGAAGGAAGTGATTTCCCCCGGGAGCTTCTCAAGGTAAATAATTTCAGAGCTCTTCTTGGACACATAGTACAATCCTTGGGATCGAGAGGCATATCACTTTTACTTGGATATTTCACCAAGGACTGGCATGTTTGGTGGGGTTTTCCGGCAAGTAAGAGTATTGTCCCAGGCTGAATTGGGCTTTCTCTAACCAGGGCCCTGATATCCAAAACAGAAAGGACCCTGGCCTGCACTTCGCAGCTAATAAAATGGATTTCAGGAGTACTTCTCAGAAATCTCTTCTTGTGTTCTATTTTTCCAACAAAAAAAGCAAATGTCTTATGTTAGAGCAGAATGTTTTGAAAACATTTACACAAAAATTCTACAAAATGTCCCAGAGTCTGGAAAATGGAGCTTCCATAATTTGCCGCAGGACCCTGATGTCTATAAAGAGATATGGATTATCATGATCTAAGAAAATACAGAGGCTTTATTAGGTTTACTAAGTTTAGGAAGGATAGTTTTTGTGGTTAGTGAGCACTTTTGGAGTAAGAAACAGGATGATAGGACCAGGCAGGAGTGTCAAAAGCTGGGGAAAGGGGCAGTAGAGGCATAACTAATCATTCTAGTAGATTTGGGGCCCTTCCACATAGCCCTATATCCCAGAATATCAAGGCAGGAAATCCCACATTAGCTGTTCAAAGCAGACATTGTGGGATTTTCTGCCTTGATATTCTGGGATATAGGGCTATGTGGAAGAGCCCTTGGATAAGCCATTATAAAGCTCACATGGAGCTCTCCTCTAAGGTTGCCCCAGTCCTTTCATCATGATGAGTTTCTCTAGCTTACTAAGTAAGAAATGGCCCACAAAGCCATTTCTCTACTGGGTTGTTGTAGGTTTTTTTGGGCTATATGGCTATGTTCTAGAAGCATTCTCTCCTGAAGTTTTGCCTGCATCTATGGCAGACATCCTCAGAGTTTGTGAGGGTTGAGGATACCTGCCATAGATGCAGACAAAACATCAAGAGAGAATGCTTCTAGAACATATATAGAGTTATTATATAGAGTTTATATATGTTTTATATTGTTATGTTTACTGTTTTTAATCGCACTTTTATGAACGTATGACATTGAATTGTGCCAATCTGTAACCCACCTTGAGTTGCCGTATGGTTGAGAAAGGTGAGCTATAAATGTCGTAAATAAATAAATAAATAAATAAATAAACATAGCCATATAGCCCGAAAAACCTACAGCAACGCAGTGATTCCAGCCACGAAAGCCTTCAACAATACATTTCTCTACTATATTGAATAAATATTATGCCTAGAGCTGAAGAACATGTACTTTTATAATATAGGAATATGTATGTCCAAATGTAAGATGTCCAAGGATGTACTGGGGCCTTTCCTGATGGGAAAACAAAATGTTGCAGACAAAATATTGTGTCCTCTTCCACTCCCAGACCATTTTCTTGCTGATGTTGCCAAAATATTATACAAAAACAATTAGTATCACACACATTTTTAGCAAAATGTTCCTTGGTAATATAGCCTAGCATTAGCATAAACGATAACTGCAGTAGTACAATAACCAAGGATGAACAGCCACAAAAGGTAACTAAGAATGATGTTGATGGCAGCAATAAAAGTAAGAGAAAAGAAAACACTGCATTCCACCCAAACATATGTTACATAAGTCTTACCTAGCTGATAAAGGGATCCACAAAACTTTTCCTGCAACCACATCTGTGAAGAAATAGGCATCAGAAGGGATATAATATTTAATCAATTGACTGATTAATCATTTATAAACTTTATAATTTAAATGATTTAAAAGGAACTCTTTCAAGTGTATTTATTAATTATTTCTCATTATCGACATGTGCCAAAATCATTAGTGACAACGTTAATCTCTGGTTGGAATTAATCATGAAGGAAACATCCTCTTGACGTCACTGGCCTTTATATCACTAATGTGGGCTGCAGAGCTTTTCCTGGTGAGACTCAGAAGATAAGGATGCTACCTAACCTTTACCCGCATGATTTTATTATTTCCTCCCTACTTTTTTTATTTATCTCATCTTTCTGCCATCATAGACCCCAAGGCCCAGAATTCTGGCACCTATTTAAAAAAACACAACATTTGAGCTAATTAGTTTGAAATTTGAATTACATCTTTGCAGAGCTGAGAAGCCTGTGCAATCAGAGTTCACTAATCATTTGAAACATTGTGACTGTTTCAGTCATTTTTTGTTACAATTTTGGTTTAGACCTGGTACAGTAGAGTCTCGCTTATCCAACATAAGCGAACGTTGGATAAGCGAAAATGTTGGAAAATAAGGAGGGATGAAATAAAAGCCTATTATTATTAAATAAATAAATTTAATTATGTATTTATTATCATTTATTAAATAAATAATAATAAATGATAATAAATAAATAATTAAATGCTAAATTATATCATGATTTTACAAATTAAGCATCAAAACCATGTTTTACAACAAATCGACAGAAAAAGCAGTTCAATACATGGTAACATTATGTCAGAATTACTGTATTTACTAATTTCGCACCAAAACATCGCAATGTATTGAAACAGCTGTGGATCCGGGCAGGAGGCAGACTCCATTGGATAATACAGAACATTGGATGAGTGAAGGCTGGAAAAGTGAGACTGTACTGTAGTATCAAAAGTGTGGTTTGTTACAATCTGCATCTCCCTATGATTAACCCTCTGGTTCATGGAGTCCTACTCCCTTTACACACACCCATAAGTCTGTTCATGTGAAGTGTGTGAGAAATGCAGCAAAGGGACAGGCATTGGGCAGTCATTTCATTAAATGACAACTTAGCATTCATCGGAAAGTAGATCAAGTTTACAGAAATTGTTGCCTATGGTTACTCCTGAATAATAGTATGTCTGCTGGGGAGGAAATATACATAAGTTGGATTGTTGATCTGTGAATTCTCACTCTTACTTCTGAGTAGGCAGAGTGAAGAAATTAGGGAGATGCTTTGATCATGAATGTTCCTAGGGCTCTCTGTTGCATTTTGCCAAAAGTTGTAATTATTACTGTGGTGCTTGTTACTATTGTTACTTTGTGTGGCAAGACGGAACTCTTCAGTTCTCCACATTCCTTTGAATTTCCTCTACCATGGGAGATGTTGTGGAAGTAGTACACTACGGGTCCAAATGGGTGCTCCTGCAGCATTGTGTGGATTTCCTTTGTTCTGCATTCATTGTGATCTTGAGAGTTCCTGTGGACGGCTGGGTTTCTCCAAAACTGTTATTTCACTGGGAACTCACAATTCTCCTCCACCAGTCCCTGTGGCTAGCAGCAGCCACTGCGCGGATCTAATTTAATATACAACTCTCCAGAAGCTGCAATTGATTCTGAGTGGAGGGAGGGCAGAGGGAGAGAAACAATTTGTGATATATTTGAATCAAGTGGTATGGAGGGATGGACTGAAAACCCTCTTAGGATGGATAATCCTGACCGTATCTAAACTGGCCCAATTAATCCAGGTAAAAAACTTGAGAGCTACCCGAATGTTTTTCAGTGCCCAGGTGGATGTGAGTTGAGGATGCATTGGGACAGGAGTCCTCAAACTTTTTAAGCTGTGGGTCGGCTCACAGTCTCTTGGGTTGTTGGAGGGCTGGCTATAGTTTGGAAAAATGAACAAATTCCTATGCACACTACATAATCTTATTTGTAATGCAAAAATACATAAAAGATCAATACAGTATTTAAAATGGAAAACAATTTTAACCAACATAAACTTACCAGTCTTTCAGTGAGAAGTGTGGGTCTGTTTTTGGCTGGTAAGAGAGTTAATTAGGATTGTTCTTGTGTGCCTTCAAGTCCTTTCAGGGTGACTCTCAGTATAAAGTTTGGGGCAGGGTGTGTGTGTGAATAAATTACCTTGGGAGGCACATCCAGCCCATTTTGGGACCCCTGCATTGGGGCCACTGCCACATCACTAGGCCTAACCAGATCCCTCACAGAACATTGCTAGTGTTCTTGCTGTTCTTAGAAACATGGCAGAATGTACTGTTGGAACCTTGCCAGAAGTAACATTGCTAGCAGGGCTCCACAAGGGAGCTGTTTGAGACTGGCAATGTAGCAGAACCTCTGTTGGACATATGTACAATAGATCAGGCATGAACCTATCAGGTCCATCCCAATTCAAGTGTCTACAGCTCCAAACCCTTGGGATCACTCCTGGGATTCCTGGAAGATTCAGAATAAATTCCCTTTGAGCCAGATTAACAGATGGATGCACTGCTTCTGCTGCCAATCAGCAGTGTGTCATGTGGACACCCTGCAGCAACCATGAGGTGAGTTCACATTATTTGACCCATATAGATACAGATTTGCCTACCAAACCTTACAGAAACCTTAACATGTGATGAACGAAACCTGACAATGTGGAATCATGTTGAATCCTCCTACCAACAAGACCCCCAACTAAAGAGGAGCAGAGTACCACAATTAGCAAATGAAGAGCTTTGAGAGTTGCCAGCATGTAAGGAGCAGAAGCTTGCGAGAAGCTCGGCCTGTCATTAAACATCGAGAAAACCAAAGTGCTCTTCCAGCAGTCACCAGCCAATCCCTCTCCAATGCCAGAAAAACAACTTAATGGTGTAACATTAGAAAATGTTGACCATTTCCACTACCTTGGCAGCCACCTCTCCACAAAAGTCAACATTGACACTGAAATACAACACTGCCTGAGCTCTGCGTGTGCAGCTTTTTTCCGAATGAAGCAAAGAGTGTTTGAGGACCAGGACATCYGTAGGGATACTAAAGTGCTTGTTTATGAAGCTATTGTCCTCCCAACCCTGCTATACGCCTACRAGACATGGACAGTCATATGCAACTCCTGAAGATTCCATCAGCGCTGCCTCCAAAAAATCCTGCAAATCTCTTGGGAAGACAAGCAGACAAATGTTAGCGTGCTGGAAGAAGCAAAGACCACTAGCATTGAAACAATGGTCCTCCGCCATCAACTCCACTGGACTGGCCACGTTGTCCGGATGCCCGACCACCG